AATTTGTGGTTTATTATCTTATTAATTAAAACACATCAGCCATAAAATAGTACAATGGCAAATTCGCATATATTAAACATCTACCTTGCATTGACAAAATGAATAAGATGGATATAGCCGTTGTAACCCAAATAAATAAGGTATTTCCCCTTATTTAAAACGAATGCTTAGTTTGTGGTTCATTGTTTTTTTGTTTTTTTTTATGAAAACCCAGAAAAAATTAAGACACTCACTTATATTAAACGAAGAAATTGAAGTTTTATCAACAAAAGTTGATGAGGTCGCATTTGCAGGCTGCATACGTCATCAAGCGTGGTTTTTTTCAGTTAACCGAGCATTACATTCGCAACTCATAAGCATATTACAACAATTTACGCTTAACTAAGAATAATGGTCAAATTTATAACTGTTAATATTCTAAAATAAGATCTTCATGACGTATGCAGCCTACAAATGTGACCTCCGGAGGATGCAGCCTTCCGTTTGACAAACGGTCAAGAAGTCTGTCTAATAATCAGATAGAACTGTTAAACAAAGGGATTAAAATGTATACAAAAAGTATCATAATGATTGCTTTTATATTATTAGTAATAGAAAGGCAAACATTATAATACTTTCTTGATCTTCTTTATGACGATGCAGCCTACAAATGCGACCTCCGGAGAATGCAGTCTTCCGTGAAACGGCCATAGTGTCAGTCTTCTCGCATCACTCTTGTCATGTGACCATTCAGCGTTCTCAATATTGGTTGCCTTGACAGCGAATCAGGTTTCTTGCCGCTAAGTACAAACATTTTGGAGGCAAAAGACTAAATATAATCTAAATCTAAATTAAATCCGTACATACAAACAAAAATGAATGAGAAACAGAGCCTACTTTCTTCCATTGTGTATGTTTATCTACGGCGCGAGAGGAGAACGATCACATGAGCTCTACCGTCTTCTTTCCTATTGGCTGTCGCTCCCGAAAGTCACTCTTCATTTGCATAAAGTTGAAGGATTCTGAACTTTGTCGCGTCGCTGGACACGCCCCATCCGGTCGCCAACGGCCGCTGTCGATAGTGTCGCCAGAAATAGCCAGCTCTCCATTGAAATTAATGGGATTGTGTCGCTTTGCTGTTGCGTGTCGCTTGTAGTGTGAACGGGGCTTTAGTCAGGGACACCCATCACGCGTGATGTAGGCGAAAGTACCGAGCCAGTGTTTAAGTTTCTTTGCCCTACCCTGTCTTTTTGAACCAGAGTACACAGACGAAGAGCTACCCATGAGTGACCTTTCCAACGTGATTATGTAATGCGTGAGGTTGGGCTGGTTCAAGTCGAGCATTTGTGGGTGAAAATTTAATACATTTTTATTTTTTTTAGTAAATGGCCGATCGTTTTGCTAGATAAGACCCTTATTCCTCGGCTAGGATCGTGTAGAGACCTTTGAAGCTGCATTGAAACTGCAATTTGGACCTTCAGCCCATTGGTCCCCATTGAAGTCCATTATATTGAGAAAAATCCTGGAATGTTTTCCTCAAAAACCTTCATTTACTTTGCGTCTGAAGATAGAAAGACTTGAACATCTTGGATGACATGGGGGTGAGTAAATTACTAGGAAATTTTTATTCTGGAAGTGAACTACTCCTTTAAGCAGATAAAATTATAAAAGAAAACTAAAAAAAAAATCCTTTCATTGCTCAATACAATGGGTAAAAATAAGAAAAAACATGGTAGAAAAAAATACTTTTGTTGGCCAATAAAATGGGTAAAAATAAGACAAGAATGGTAATCAAAATACATTTGCTAGCCAATTAAAAAAGAGATAAAAAAAGACATGAACATCTTGGATGACATGGGGGTGAAAAAAATTATCAGAAAATTTTTATTCTGGAAGTGAACTTATCCATTAACTTTCTACTCACCTGGCAAATCTATTGTAGCACAGTCTGTCAGCGAGTTTTCTTTCAAAGACCCAGACTGATCGCCTGTGTCACCTGCAACATAAAATAAGTTGCATTGAATGATGTCTTTTAAATTGGATGCAGACAGCAATTCTACCCTTAATGATCTTACCACTGTTTCTTTTCTACATTTTTTCTTCTTTTGGCTCTCACTTACTTACTTAGAAGTGATAGGGCATCTTCCTTTGGAACAGGGCATTTCATATTTTCTGAAAGTCCATCAATGACTGCAGTCACATTAGGCAAAATCTTCATGTAAAAGCTCTTCAAAGAGTTGTTCATTGCTTCAATGCCATACAAAAAAATTACGTTGACCAATAGTATGTTATAAGTAGCTGAAATAAGCACAAATGTCAGGGCATGTCAAAACATCTCAAGGGCCCCCAAATCACCTCAGACCCCAGAGGGTTAATAAGGAGCCACCTTTTCTCAACATAGTTTCGAATGGCTGTGTTAGTCTTATACAAGACACTGTTCCTGAGCTTACTTATTTCTGCCTCACGTTTCTCTATCATGTTCAGATGCTACACTATGAAGTAGGCCAAGAAGTTCACTGTGATCCTGATCAGAGAGATGGTTCTTGCCTGCAACAGTTACATCAAAATGACTATGCTATTACTTTTTAAAATGTTAATACTACTCATATATAATGCACATGTAATCTCTAGGATTTGTCCCGTAAAATGACTTTTTACTAGGGCTGTCAAAATTAACGCATTAATAACACGCTAACGCAAATTAATTTTAACGGCACTAATTTTATTAACGCGCGATTAACGCAGCGTGCATTTTCTGTTTGACCCGTGGCCTAACCCGTAAGTTAGTTGGAGAAATGGAGATGCTGACAGTAGTGTTGCCAACTTATCGACTTTGTTGCTAGATTTAGCGACTTTTCAGACCCCTTTAGCGCCGTTTTTTTTTTCAAAAAAGCGCCTAGTGACAAATCTTTAGGGTTTGGCCAAACCTTATTTAGTGTCTGAGACTCGCCGGTACTGTCACGAGACCGCGAGGTCTCTCTTTCCCGCTGCGCACACAACTCTTTCTCTGCGTCTGCTCTGTTCAGCGAGCGGCAGAGAGGAGCAGCACTTTCAGTTAAAATGTATATTATGTTGCTTCCCTAATTTTACATGCAAGTATAGCTGAAATCACAGCACAGTTATTGTCTTTATCTTATGTGTAGCCCATTTGATTTCATCAGACGACGACGGCTCGATTATCAGGATTTTTGTGCAGATTAAAGGGTTAGTTCACCCAAAAATTAAAATTAGCCCCACAAATTATTCACCCTCAAGTCATCCTAGGTGTATATGACTTTCTTCTTTCAGACGAATCCAGTCGGAGTTATATAAAAAATTGTCTTTGATCTTTCAAGCTGTTTAATGCCACTCAGCGGGTGTTGCTTGCGTCAGTCCAAAAGAAGTTAAATAAAAAGCACCCATCCATTAAAAAAAGTGTCTCACACGGCTCCGGGGGGTGAACAAAGGCCTCCTGTAGCGAATCGATGCATTTTTGTAAGAAAAATATCCATATTCAAAACGTAATAATCACTTTAATGTAGCTTGCGCCAACAGTCCTACACGGAAGCAGCTCCGGGCGGATGACGTACGAGTTCAGCGTTGCGCAAATGATCCTATTTTAATCGATTGACAGCCCTACTTTTTACACAACATCACTATTTCTCTATTAATAAGCATTTTGTAAGCAGCAAAGTTACTCATCATATAGCAGCTGAAATTGTAGAAAAAGAAGAAAGAAAAACATCTGTTTTAAAGGGGTCATATGATGCTTTTTTAAAGATCATTATTTTGTGTATTTGGTGTAACAGAATATGTTGACATGCTTTAATGTTCAAAAAACACATTATTTTTCAAATACTGTACATTATTGTAGGTCCTCTACTGCTTCAACACTAACTGCGGTTACTGAAACCACGCCTTCTTTCTTTGCGTGAACATTTGGGCGCATTATGCAAATATTTCCACATAGTGACCTAGATATGTGGGGGAGTGTTAGAACGAGCTGTTTTAGGGGGGTGTGGCAGAGTCTTAACTTTGATAAAGAATATCTCTTTGGTTTTGAGACTTTAGTCTTTGCAACTTCAGGGATCTTATCTATTCACGAACAGCTTGTAACACTCCAAAGAGAAAGGAAAACTTGAAATCACATCATATGACCCCTTTAAGGCAGGTTAAAGTATGATTATGACAAGTATATATTTTAATAGTGTTTAATATTCATTGCTGCATAAATTAAAATGGCTCTTTTGTGTGAGGCAATTACGTTATATTCTTTATGTGGACATTTAAAATAAGCTGAGAATTGTTTCTGAATTATTTCAGTGCCTAAACATTGAACTTTGCGCTTAGCAACATGAAAAGTACATTGTTACTTCTATTGTAATCTGAAATGATCCTCAAAAATTTACATGTCTGTGATTGGCTTAACCACCACAGAAAACACACAGTACATGCATAAATTAAGTAACATTAAAAAATTCAAAGACAATACTGTAATCAACAAAAACAATTAGTTTAACTGTTGCACCAGCAATTGTAACCTTGAGTTATGATACTGTTATGTTATGATTTGACTCCTATAATCAATCATGAAAAGAAAGGTTTAGAGAACTTTAAAAGTCTAGACATTCCTGGTCCATCACAACAAGAAGACCAATTGAAGTGCCTGGTATTCTTGTTCACAGTAATCAGTCATGAAATATTTTGGATTCCAGGCATCATTCCATTTGTTTTTTTTATCAACGAGAAGGCCTCAGAGATTGCAATGGTGGACTCATTTTCACAGATGAATTCTGCAACTGGTTTGTAGCCAACATTTGTCCTGACAACTACTAAAAAAAAGTGGCAAAGCAAATTTTGTTGTTCTGTATGTGGCATCCAGGAGAACCATGTCTCCGTATCGTTTCATTAGTTTTCGCTGTTCTTGGAACTGATGTACATATAAGAATGTGATCTGCATGGTAGGCTCCTTATCTTCAATTTTACTGACACAATCACCATCTTGGGATGATTTTTTTAGTTGGGCCTCTGAACATTTTCTGAAATAAAAATGTGCAGTGGGATCATCTTCTTTCCATTTCTTCAGCTTTATTTCCAAATTAAGCTGATCAAGGCCAAAGTACTTTCCTGCTACTAAAGCCAAATACACATGATTTTGAATGGTATGGCTAGTTGGAAAGTAGCACTGATCATGTGACTTTGGGATGACAATCTGAAGGCGAGGGTTCAGTGTTCACAAACTGAAGCAATTTTTTAAGAAAAGGCACAGATGTAATTCCTAGGGATACAAACTCTTGAATTTCCTTCATAAGAGGGTTGATATTTCTTGTAAATCCGCTTTCTACTGAAATCGTGTGGTGCTGGTGAGCTGTCTCAAATGGTAAGCTGATGTGAATTATTTCAGATGACTCTGCTTCATTTTTCTGTAGAGATGTTTTGAGAGTGTCCATGATGATTTGTTTCCTCTCTTTTGAAGCTCCTTTTTCAACACTGCATTTATCGAATCTGGAAAAAGTTTAAATATGTAAGAATAAAATACATTGAAACAGCTGCTAATTGTAACTCTTTGTGTAGAGGAAAGGCACACGAAGACGAAGGTAATCTACACAAGAGTTTAATAGAATTCAAGAAGATGATAATCCATGAAGGCAAAGGGAAAAAGCAGCAAAACAACATCAACAATAAGCATAAATACTGGACAAGGACTGAACAGAACAGGGAGAACTTATACATGTCAAGGTTTTGTCACAGCAGTTTCCTAGAGAGAGAGAGAGACCCAGATGCAAAGAAAACCTAATAAACTTCAAAAGAACTAAATGAAAAGCTAGACTGACACGGAGAGTAAAATTTAACACTACTAATACAACTAGTTGACTGACATGGAAATCTCTTACACACAAGGAACTAACACAACGAACCAGCAGAGACATGAGGGAAAGGGGCACAATATAAAGGAGCAGAGCAATGAGGATCAGGTGGACACAATCAAGTAAATGAGGACTAGACTAGGACTAAACAAGGGGGCGTGGTAAAAGGAAACAAGGGGGCAGGACGAGAGGAGCACATGGCCAACATAAAGACAGAGCCATGTGCTCAGACACAAAACATACAAAGAAACATTGAACAGAGACAAGAGAGACAAAACTGTCAGTACAGGATCCTGGCCAAAGGACGCCTCCAGGCGTCCACAATGGGCACAGGAGTCCAAGGAGGTACTAACTGGGTGGGTGGGAGGGAGGGTGGGCGGGGCATAAACAC